ATACACATACACATTCATGCAACATACAAAGGCAGAGTCAGCTCAGCCGAAAACTAACCGCGCCTCGCTTTGGCAGTGGCGGAGGGCGGCCGGGTGATCACAGCCACCGAGGGCCGCATCAAGAGCCCCGGGGACATGGTGCGTTACCGGCGCTACCTGGACGTCTCCGCCAGCCTCGTTCTGCCTCCCGGACACGTCGCCAGGATCGAGTGGAGGGACATCGAGGTCGAAGAGAACTCGCGGTGCTTGTACGACTACGTGGAGATTGTCGATTCGCTTACCGGCGAGGGGCTCGAACCGTGAGTGTCGAACGCTGGCGCAAACGCATTAACGGGAACAAAAAGAACAAAAAAATAATAAGCAGACATGAATATATGAATAAAGGTCAATATTCGGAGGACCTTCGCATGGCCGATCAGGACGATATTGGTATCGATGGATTCCTCTCACCCTCTACTACCCAAATCTGTAGGACATTTGCCTCGGAACCCCCTCAACCCCACAGTCTTGGCTCCGATAGCAGGGGAGGGCTTGTGTGTGTGTGTGTGTGTGTGTGTGTGTGTGTGTGTGTGTGTGTGTGTGTGTGTGTGTGTGTGTGTGTGTGTGTGTGTGTGTGTGTGTGTGTGTTTCAACTATAATCTAGATGTTCAATTCTTCTTCACAGCTACAACATCAGCAGGTTCTGCGGAAGGAAAGTCCCACATACCATGGATTCTAAAAGTAATTTGGTGACAATAAGGTTTAAAACTGACTACAGCGTCCAGGAGGCAGGGTTCGACATTTGCTTCCGTGCTGTCCAGGTATGCTAACAACTAACCGAATTCTGTATTTGATATATAGGGCTACGTACAACCACAAATAATTTTCCGATTTTCTTATCATATTAAAGACAACTTCACGTGCAGTAAAAGAAACCGTTAACCACATAATGGAACAAAAACAAACGTAAGCCCTAACTCGTATATTCATGAAGCGCTAAGTACTTATCTTGGTTTACGTGACTGCATTCACATTTTCCCACGTTTTGTTACAGGTGTAAGACGTTCTGCTTTCCAACTCTGATACGGCAAATAGATTTCATTACCTGGATAAAGCGAGGGATCAGCTGCGACTCCGTATGCAATATTATCTTCCTCTTAACTTTCAAAAATGGTAACAATGAAATAGGAGTGGCAGACTTGATCTTTCTATGCATAAGCCGTTTGAATGAATATGCAATGATTACCAAACAGTATGTTTCAATATCTAGTTACCTACTACCAGGCATTTTTTTTATAATTATCTAGCAAAACGGTTCATATTTACACTGCCATTACTTACCTGTTCTTTTTTACATAGTCAACCAAAAAAGTCATTCTTAATAATCATCGGTTAATGTGTGTAGTCTATAGCAAGAACACACAACGCATTCACACAAAATTCTTTGGCAATTATAAACCAGGCAGTTATTTAACTTGTATTACTAATGTATGTGATAATTCAGAAGAAGAGCTACATTTTGTTTATTTAGAAAAAAATGTGGTTTTAATTATCAAGATATCAATAGCTTCTGGTTATTTTTTGTTTATCTTCCATTCATAATATGCCTCACTGTTTATATAATCTGCTATGAATTTCGAAAGGTTTCTCACCTATCTAGGACAAATTTCCAAATATGTATTGTAAACTTTGGGCACAACAATAAAGATCTTTGAAATTCTTTACATTACAATAAATTACCTTTCTAATAAATACTGGTCTTCATATTGGGGAGCTCAGGTGAAAGATATGCATCAATAAATATGCTAGCCATTAGAGTATTATTAATATTCAGATATTGTTATCTTAGTATTGTTACTATTATTATTACCATCACTACTACTACAAACTGCTAAAATACTACTTATGACAACAGATAATGAATATAATTTATAATAGAACAAATGGTTATTATAATAATGAGAACCTCGACAATAATCATCACAGTAAAATAAGTATGCTAATATCCACAGTGATTGTAACAGACAATATCAGTAACTACTAGTGTTCAAACTATATTGATCAATTGCCTTAATTCATATTTTCTGGCACGCACAAATTTTAAAAGTTACAATATCTTACGATGCATTTTCCATGGCTGAAGAGAACTTCCCAGAAATGGAATGCTAAAAAACAATTTTCACCATGCAAGTTACGAGAATCCTCCCTTCTTGGTTATAAAGCCAAAATGGTTGAAGTGCTCATCCTAGAGTAGAAACCAACTGGAGAAAAAAAAAAAAAAAACCTAATATGGGAATAAAACAGGTTTTCAGTGTTCCTCCAATCAGCTTTGAGCACGCATTTATAGATCTACTCCTACTCTTAATATTCAGAAAGTTTGGCAATATTACTTCTAAATATTAATGAACCATGACAAACACCTAAAAATACTTATTGCCAACATTCATCTTCAAATCTGTTTTAAACTTGCTCTACAAGCACTGACTAAAACAGGATGGCAATATTGTACAATTTTGAAATTATCCCAATCCAATACAATTTTTAAAAATTTACAGGATTCTTCCAAGAATTGCTTAAAGGCAGTGCTCAGTATACAGGAAGGTATTTGGTTTAGGAAGTCTCCATCGGTATAATTTTCTTTTTACTGTTCAAGCTAATTAACAACAGTCAGACTTCATTTACTTAACATTGGTGGTCTTTCTTCATGTGTTTGGGGTACAAGAAAAAACTTGTCAAACTTTCCATACTATTTATTGAGTTTACACACTTTATATAATAGCAAAATTATATGCATACATCAAATCTGCATTACATTTGTATCCATCCATCTTCAGAACTGTCTGCACCCTCACATCTCCAGAAAAAACTGAAAAGAACAGATCTATTAAAGATACCTTCCGAGTAGTTATAACTAGTCCTAAAATATTTTAAAAGCAAAGCCTAATGCAAGCTTTACCATTTCTGGAGCATTTTAAGTCAAGAGCCCTAATCTGAATGAAGTACATTTTTAAAAGACTAGCAGGTGTATACAACAATTACAGAAGAATCTCCAAAACTGCTTATAATTCTACTCTATTCTTTTTTCTGCATAAAAAAATTAGTCTCACTAATGTCTATAACACTTACCGAGACAGTGCTACCAAAAGTGTCTGCACACAAGCAACCACACAGATGGCTTTGAAGCCACCACTCTTCAGTCAGCGACTTTATATGAACACCACACCTGGAATGCAGAAGGAGAAATTAATACAAATTCCAATTACTTAAATGATTCATCTACTGAAGTTCCTGTTCAGTGAACAGAGTCAATTTTATTTGCAAGAGATTTCAGAAGGTGGTCATATGACCTCATTTTTTATAATTAATGTTAATGTGCAATATTATTTCAACTTACCTAATCAAGTGGCACTGAACATGTAGGATCCACAATTGTTGGACTTGTATCGAGGGCTTCCATTTCTATTTCTGAAATAGTGGAATAAGTTAATACCATTTCACAGGTACAACACAGTTGAAAAAATGGCATTTAGTTTTCAGATTAAAAGTTCTGAATCACTATGAATTCATAAGAGGTGTCAGAAAAGTATCATCATGTACTGGAGAAAGTGTTACATGTTAATATTTAAAATCAAGACAACCATTTCACCATTTAACACATTAAGAGCCACAAAAATAAGCAATTCTCAAATATAGAAATTCCCAAGCTTTTCATTTGACAAGGGAATCCAGGTTATCAAATTCTTCAGGAAAAGGCTCCCCACCATCCCTTTCTTATACAAGTACTAGCAAGAAAGCGAGCCACACAATACAAGAAATTTTAAACTTGTAACACTTTCATAATCCAGTTCTGCAACAGTACATAAAATATAAGTGCAGTTTCATTTATTTACTGCTTCTAAATTTAAACCTTACCATAAAGTAATTATTTCTGTCTAGTCATCCAGACTTCCAAATTCTGCAATCTTGACAGGAACTCCGTCCTGTACTTCCCAATGCCAAAGATCCCATGAGAGTAGGCATCCTTGCTGGAAGACACCTGCAAATACCAAAAGTTGTCATTGAGAAAAATGGAAATAAAGGCATTAACATGGTTTTACCCCTTTATACTAACATATCCTAAATACATGCACAGTACATTTTTGCATGACTTATGGCAGATTACACAGAAGCTTCTAACATCAGACTTCATCCGCCACCAGTAAAATCATGTCCCACTCAGTACATCTTAATATTTCTCCCACTTAAAGCATTTAATTGAACCAACTTGCCTATACCTTCTCTTTTTGCGAGGTTTAGCTGCTAACAGGGGGTAAATGTTATTAATGCCTTTCGCCTTATTAGCAATTTTAAGTTATTGACTTTCAGTAATCTAAAATCATTCGCAGTACTTTCGTCACGGAATAGTCTTAACTTGCATTTAAATTTATCACGTTCAATGCCATTTCCTACAAGTGAAAAAAAAAAAAAACTAATATGGGAATAAAACAGGTTTTCAGTGTTCCTCCAATCAGCTTTGAGCACGCATTTATAGATCTACTCCTACTCTTAAGATTCAGAAAGTTTAGCAATATTACTTCTAAATATTAATGAACCATGACAAACACCTAAAAATACTTATTGCCAACATTCATCTTCAAATCTGTTTTAAACTCTTGCTCTACAAGCACTGACTAAAACAGGATGGCAATATTGTACAATGTATTGGATTGGGATAATTTCAAATTTTTAAAAATTTACAGGATTCTTCCAAGAATTTCTTAAAGGTAGTGCTCAGTATGCAGGAAGGTACTTGGTTTAGAAAGTCTCCATCGGTACAATTTTCTTTTTACTGTTCAAGCTAATTAACAGTCAGATTTCATTTACTTAACATTGGTGGTCTTTCTTCATGTGTTTGGGGTACAAGAAAAAACTTGTCAAACTTTCCATACTATTTATTGAGTTTACACACTTTATATAATAGCAAAATTATATGCATACATCAAATCTGCATTACATTTGTATCCATCCATCTTCAGAACTGTCTGCACCCTCACATCTCCAGAAAAAACTGAAAAGAACAGATCTATTAAAGATACCTTCCGAGTAGTTATAACTAGTCCTAAAATATTTTAAAAGCAAAGCCTAATGCAAGCTTTACCATTTCTGGAGCATTTTAAGTCAAGAGCCCTAATCTGAATGAAGTACATTTTTAAAAGACTAGCAGGTGTATACAACAATTACAGAAGAATCTCCAAAACTGCTTATAATTCTACTCTATTCTTTTTTCTGCATAAAAAAATTAGTCTCACTAATGTCTAACACTTACCGAGACAGTGCTACCAAAAGTGTCTGCACACAAGCCACCACTCTTCAGTTAGCGACTTTATATGAACACCACACCTGGAATGCAGAAGGAGAAATTAATACAAATTCCAATTACTTAAATGATTCATCTACTGAAGTTCCTGTTCAGTGAACAGAGTCAATTTTATTTGCAAGAGATTTCAGAAGGTGGTCATATGACCTCATTTTTTATAATTAATGTTAATGTGCAATATTATTTCAACTTACCTACTCAAGTGGCACTGAACATGTAGGATCCACAATTGTTGGACTTGTATCGAGTTCTTCCATTTCTATTTCTGAAATAGTGGAATAAGTTAATACCATTTCACAGGTACAATACAGTTGAAAAAATTGCATTTAATTTTCAGATTAAAAGTTCTGAATCACTATGAATTCATAAGAGGTGTCAGAAAAGTATCATCATGTACTGGAGAAAGTGTTGCATGTTAATATTAAAAAATCAAGACAACCATTTCCCCATTTAACACATTAAAAGCCACAAAAATAAGCAAACCTCAAATATAGAAATTCCCAAGCTTTTCATTTGACAAGGGAATCCAGGTTATCAAATTCTTCAGGAAAAGGCTCCCCACCATCCCTTTCTTATACAAGTACTAGCAAGAAAGCGAGCCACACAATACAAGAAATTTTAAACTTGTAACACTTTCATAATCCAGTTCTGCAACAGTACATAAAATATAAGTGCAGTTTCATTTATTTACTGCTTCTAAATTTAAACCTTACCATAAAGTAATTATTTCTGTCTAGTCATCCAGACTTCCAAATTCTGCAATCTTGACAGGAACTCCGTCCTGTACTTCCCAATGCCAAAGATCCCATGAGAGTAGGCATCCTTGCTGGAAGACACCTGCAAATACCAAAAGTTGTCATTGAGAAAAATGGAAATAAAGGCATTAACATGGTTTTACCCCTTTATACTAACATATCCTAAATACATGCACAGTACATTTTTGCATGACTTATGGCAGATTACACAGAAGCTTCTAACATCAGACTTCATCCGCCACCAGTAAAATCATGTCCCACTCAGTACATCTTAATATTTCTCCCACTTAAAGCATTTAGTTGAACCAACTTGCCTATACCTTCTCTTTTTGCGAAGTTTAGCTGCTAACAGGGGGTAAATGTTAATAATGCCTTTCGCCTTTTTAGCAATTTTAAGTTACTGACTCAGTAATCTAAAATCATTCACAGTACTAATATTATCATGAAATAGTCTTACCTTGCATTTAAATTTATCACATTCAATGCCATTTCCTACAAGTGAAAAAAAAAAAAAAACTAATATGGGAATAAAACAGGTTTTCAGTGTTCCTCCAATCAGCTTTGAGCACGCATTTATAGATCTACTCCTACTCTTAAGATTCAGAAAGTTTAGCAATATTACTTCTAAATATTAATGAACCATGACAAACACCTAAAAATACTTATTGCCAACATTCATCTTCAAATCTGTTTTAAACTCTTGCTCTACAAGCACTGACTAAAACAGGATGGCAATATTGTACAATGTATTGGATTGGGATAATTTCAAATTTTTAAAAATTTACAGGATTCTTCCAAGAATTTCTTAAAGGTAGTGCTCAGTATGCAGGAAGGTACTTGGTTTAGAAAGTCTCCATCGGTACAATTTTCTTTTTACTGTTCAAGCTAATTAACAGTCAGATTTCATTTACTTAACATTGGTGGTCTTTCTTCATGTGTTTGGGGTACAAGAAAAAACTTGTCAAACTTTCCATACTATTTATTGAGTTTACACACTTTATATAATAGCAAAATTATATGCATACATCAAATCTGCATTACATTTGTATCCATCCATCTTCAGAACTGTCTGCACCCTCACATCTCCAGAAAAAACTGAAAAGAACAGATCTATTAAAGATACCTTCCGAGTAGTTATAACTAGTCCTAAAATATTTTAAAAGCAAAGCCTAATGCAAGCTTTACCATTTCTGGAGCATTTTAAGTCAAGAGCCCTAATCTGAATGAAGTACATTTTTAAAAGACTAGCAGGTGTATACAACAATTACAGAAGAATCTCCAAAACTGCTTATAATTCTACTCTATTCTTTTTTCTGCATAAAAAAATTAGTCTCACTAATGTCTATAACACTTACCGAGACAGTGCTACCAAAAGTGTCTGCACACAAGCAACCACACAGATGGCTTTGAAGCCACCACTCTTCAGTCAGCGACTTTATATGAACACCACACCTGGAATGCAGAAGGAGAAATTAATACAAATTCCAATTACTTAAATGATTCATCTACTGAAGTTCCTGTTCAGTGAACAGAGTCAATTTTATTTGCAAGAGATTTCAGAAGGTGGTCATATGACCTCATTTTTTATAATTAATGTTAATGTGCAATATTATTTCAACTTACCTACTCAAGTGGCACTGAACATGTAGGATCCACAATTGTTGGACTTGTATCGAGTTCTTCCATTTCTATTTCTGAAATAGTGGAATAAGTTAATACCATTTCACAGGTACAATACAGTTGAAAAAATTGCATTTAATTTTCAGATTAAAAGTTCTGAATCACTATGAATTCATAAGAGGTGTCAGAAAAGTATCATCATGTACTGGAGAAAGTGTTGCATGTTAATATTAAAAAATCAAGACAACCATTTCACCATTTAACACATTAAGAGCCACAAAAATAAGCAATTCTCAAATATAGAAATTGCCAAGCTTTTCATTTGAAAAGGGAAACCAGGTTATCAAATTATTCAGGAAAAGGCTCCCCACCATCCCTTTTTTATACAAGTACTAGCAAGAAAGCGAGCCACACAATACAAGAAATTTTAAACTTGTAACACTTTCATAATCCAGTTCTGCAACAGTACATAAAATATAAGTGCAGTTCCATTTATTTACTGCTAAATTTAAACTTACCATAAAGTAATTATTTCTGTCTAGTCATCCAGACTTCCAAATTCTGCAATCTTGACAGGAACTCCGTCCTGTACTTCCCAATGCCAAAGATCCCATGAGAGTAGGCATCCTTGCTGGAAGACACCTGCAAATACCAAAAGTTGTCATTGAGAAAAATGGAAATAAAGGCATTAACATGGTTTTACCCCTTTATACTAACATATCCTAAATACATGCACAGTACATTTTTGCATGACTTATGGCAGATTACACAGAAGCTTCTAACATCAGACTTCATCCGCCACCAGTAAAATCATGTCCCACTCAGTACATCTTAATATTTCTCCCACTTAAAGCATTTAATTGAACCAACTTGCCTATACCTTCTCTTTTTGCGAAGTTTAGCTGCTAACAGGGGGTAAATGTTATTAATGCCTTTCGCCTTATTAGCAATTTTAAGTTATTGACTTTCAGTAATCTAAAATCATTCGCAGTACTTTCGTCACGGAATAGTCTTAACTTGCATTTAAATTTATCACGTTCAATGCCATTTCCTACAAGTGAAAAAAAAAAAAAAACTAATATGGGAATAAAACAGGTTTTCAGTGTTCCTCCAATCAGCTTTGAGCACGCATTTATAGATCTACTCCTACTCTTAAGATTCAGAAAGTTTAGCAATATTACTTCTAAATATTAATGAACCATGACAAACACCTAAAAATACTTATTGCCAACATTCATCTTCAAATCTGTTTTAAACTCTTGCTCTACAAGCACTGACTAAAACAGGATGGCAATATTGTACAATGTATTGGATTGGGATAATTTCAAATTTTTAAAAATTTACAGGATTCTTCCAAGAATTTCTTAAAGGTAGTGCTCAGTATGCAGGAAGGTACTTGGTTTAGAAAGTCTCCATCGGTACAATTTTCTTTTTACTGTTCAAGCTAATTAACAGTCAGATTTCATTTACTTAACATTGGTGGTCTTTCTTCATGTGTTTGGGGTACAAGAAAAAACTTGTCAAACTTTCCATACTATTTATTGAGTTTACACACTTTATATAATAGCAAAATTATATGCATACATCAAATCTGCATTACATCTGTATCCATCCATCTTCAGAACTGTCTGCACCTTCACATCTCCAGAAAAACCTGAAAAGAACAGATCTATTAAAGATCTTCCGAGTAGTTATAACTAGTCCTAAAATATTTTAAAAGCAAAGCCTAATGCAAGCTTTACCATTTCTGGAGCATTTTAAATCAAGAGCCCTAATCTGAATGAAGTACATTTTTAAAAGACTAGCAGGTGTATACAACAATTACAGAAGAATCTCCAAAACTGCTTATAATTCTACTCTATTCTTTTTTCTGCATAAAAAAATTAGTCTCACTAATGTCTATAACACTTACCGAGACAGTGCTACCAAAAGTGTCTGCACACAAGCAACCACACAGATGGCTTTGAAGCCACCACTCTTCAGTCAGCGACTTTATATGAACACCACACCTGGAATGCAGAAGGAGAAATTAATACAAATTCCAATTACTTAAATGATTCATCTACTGAAGTTCCTGTTCAGTGAACAGAGTCAATTTTATTTGCAAGAGATTTCAGAAGGTGGTCATATGACCTCATTTTTTATAATTAATGTTAATGTGCAATATTATTTCAACTTACCTACTCAAGTGGCACTGAACATGTAGGATCCACAATTGTTGGACTTGTATCGAGTTCTTCCATTTCTATTTCTGAAATAGTGGAATAAGTTAATACCATTTCACAGGTACAATACAGTTGAAAAAATTGCATTTAATTTTCAGATTAAAAGTTCTGAATCACTATGAATTCATAAGAGGTGTCAGAAAAGTATCATCATGTACTGGAGAAAGTGTTGCATGTTAATATTAAAAAATCAAGACAACCATTTCACCATTTAACACATTAAGAGCCACAAAAATAAGCAATTCTCAAATATAGAAATTGCCAAGCTTTTCATTTGAAAAGGGAAACCAGGTTATCAAATTATTCAGGAAAAGGCTCCCCACCATCCCTTTTTTATACAAGTACTAGCAAGAAAGCGAGCCACACAATACAAGAAATTTTAAACTTGTAACACTTTCATAATCCAGTTCTGCAACAGTACATAAAATATAAGTGCAGTTTCATTTATTTACTGCTTCTAAATTTAAACCTTACCATAAAGTAATTATTTCTGTCTAGTCATCCAGACTTCCAAATTCTGCAATCTTGACAGGAACTCCGTCCTGTACTTCCCAATGCCAAAGATCCCATGAGAGTAGGCATCCTTGCTGGAAGACACCTGCAAATACCAAAAGTTGTCATTGAGAAAAATGGAAATAAAGGCATTAACATGGTTTTACCCCTTTATACTAACATATCCTAAATACATGCACAGTACATTTTTGCATGACTTATGGCAGATTACACAGAAGCTTCTAACATCAGACTTCATCCGCCACCAGTAAAATCATGTCCCACTCAGTACATCTTAATATTTCTCCCACTTAAAGCATTTAGTTGAACCAACTTGCCTATACCTTCTCTTTTTGCGAAGTTTAGCTGCTAACAGGGGGTAAATGTTAATAATGCCTTTCGCCTTTTTAGCAATTTTAAGTTATTGACTTTCAGTAATCTAAAATCATTCGCAGTACTTTCGTCACGGAATAGTCTTAACTTGCATTTAAATTTATCACGTTCAATGCCATTTCCTACAAGTGAAAAAAAAAAAAAAAAAAAAAAAACTAATATGGGAATAAAACAGGTTTTCAGTGTTCCTCCAATCAGCTTTGAGCACGCATTTATAGATCTACTCCTACTCTTAAGATTCAGAAAGTTTAGCAATATTACTTCTAAATATTAATGAACCATGACAAACACCTAAAAATACTTATTGCCAACATTCATCTTCAAATCTGTTTTAAACTCTTGCTCTACAAGCACTGACTAAAACAGGATGGCAATATTGTACAATGTATTGGATTGGGATAATTTCAAATTTTTAAAAATTTACAGGATTCTTCCAAGAATTTCTTAAAGGTAGTGCTCAGTATGCAGGAAGGTACTTGGTTTAGAAAGTTACACTGGAGTTTTGAGACAGCTAGGCAGGTAAGTAGATTGGAGGCAGGTGCATGAAGTCGCATGTGTCGTCTCAAGTTCTTTGCATGTGAAAAGGAGTGACCACAGACTTCACACTGGTGCACTCGTGTCTGCCAAAGGAAGAGAAAAAAAAATTCAATATTTCTAGTCCTTTCTCATTCTAAAACCATAATAAATCAAGCCTCAATACCTTTGAAATAATAAAAGTTAAGAATCCTCATCATCATAATCTTAATACAAAGAAAATAAGACGTAAAAAAACAAAATAAATATATAATGCAAATATACCACTTCCATATCATCTCAATATATCACCTTAGAATGGGTAGCAAGATGATCATTCAAATGCGTCTTTCTCTTAGAAGTGAACGAACATCCTGGGTGGGGACAAGGGAAGGCCCTGCCAGAGTGCTGCAGGAGGTGAGCCTTGAAACTGCTGACATATTTTGAGGAGAATCCACAAATATCACACAGCAGTCTGATGGTTGGACTGTGGGTGTACAGGTGGGCTTGCAGTGCATGGCGCCACTTAAATCCTCGTCCACAGTCACTGCATACAAATCTAGCAAAAGAGACAGAATAATATATAATTTTTGCTACTGAACAGAATGATAGGTATCACGCTATCTTTGTTATCCAATTACTTTCTAAAATAGATAACATAGAAGAAATGATAAACACATGAAAGACATTATTTTAGAAATGCAGCATATAACAATGCAATTGGCAATATTATTATAAAGCTCTCTTTTTCATTCATTTCAATACTCTCAAAAAATAACCAAATATCCCTACTTTCTCTGGAAATTGTCTACAACATAAATTAATACCATTACTACCAAAAATGGTTGCAGGACAATATTTAGGTTTTTCTTCACATTTGCAAATACCTTGACTTTTCATTAACTTTGTTTTTGTTTTTTTGCAACTACATCAAAATTATCTTATTATTATTCATTGTGGTGGGGAATCAAAACAATCTTTAAAATGTGTTTAAACTTTGGCAATCACTAATCAAATGTGTATCAACACAACATTACATCTCCTTTTTCTGGCAACAGAGATTTCAATAATGATAGAATTTAATCTATGATCTTTGCTTCATTGACTGTGACTGTATCTTTTACATTCACATATATTCTAGTACAAGAAAATGTTCTTACGGTTTAGAGGTAGAATGCTTTGGCATGTGCATGGTGAGAGCTGCACGGGTACGAAACCGCAGGTCACAATACATGCAGAAAAAGGGGAGTTCTTGGTCATGCAGAGCAAAATGTAAACGCTGGTCTTCAAGATCTCGTACCTGTGGGAAGTACAGGAATTACATTTCTCTGAAAACAGTATCAAGGAACCAACAGATTAATAATACCATTAATTTGGCAATGAAACAAACAAACTTTTTCACGTACAATACCCATAAAGACAGCAACAAACAATACCTGCACAAAGCACAAAGGACACTCTACAGTGAAGTGTTGCATGTTCTGAACATGTTTCACCAAATCTCCACATCGTTGGAATGCTGATCCACAAACAGTGCAGATCAAACCTCTTCCAACAGATCTCTGTTTTTGCTGTTTTTTCTTTTGCAGCAACTTTTGTGTTTCACCCGAACATATATTTTGCTGTTGCTCAGCACTCACCACCACACTCAGCATGTCATTCGTACCCTCATTTCCAGTGCAAGATGATCCTTCAGCTTCCATTTCACTAGCTTGGTTTGTGAACTCTAGTTTGGACGTAAGGTCTTCCATAGACGACTCATTAGTAGTCCCACCTAACCTTTCCAGGGATGCCTCCTCTTCAAAGCCAGGGACACTTTCATGACTTTCTTGTAATTCAGGGATGGACGGCTGAGTGGTGTTTTGGTCCTGGCACTGAACAAGGGTCCAGCTGCTGTTTATTCCACTACTCAGACCCTGCACATCGGAACATAACATTGACAGGTCAAGCATGCTGCTGTCTGCATCAGATTTTTCTTCAAACGAATCAGTTACTTGGAATTTCGTCTGTTTTTCTTGTTCCAACACAGGTTTTGATTCAGGTTGAGGAGGTCCAGCTATGCACTCTTCAAGTTTGTCTTGAACTAAGCTCTCTGTGGTCTTGTCAGCGTTTTTGAGATTTCCTTTTAGAACGGGCTTTCGGCTGTGCTTCTTCCTTACTCTTCCTTTATCTGAGCTGGGACTCTCCTCGTTTGAGAAAGGAACTTTGGAGTGCAGACAGTCCAAGATCTGATGTGAAAGACCAAGCATTTCAGCGTACTGGATAAGTAATGCCAAGTGAGAGGGAGAAATGCTCACTTTCTCCCCATATAAGAGTCTCACTAAGGCTTCCATCACATTTATGCCTGATGCACCATCTGAAGAAAGAAGAGAAATTCATAAATCAAAAGACCATGTGTTAATGCCATACAAAAATTAGGAAAAGAAATATATGAAGATTGAAAATAAATATTTCTGATTAAACATAAAGAGTACGCATGAATAAATATGTTAAATAAAACAAAATCATTAGACTAGTTTAACCTATACAAAAGATAAAAAAATAAATAAATAAATAAAATAAAAAAATCATTCACAAACTATCAATCTATGCCACATTTTAAACTCCTAGTTCATTCCTGGCAATTTTTTGTAATCAAGACCAAGCACGTGTGAACTAGTAAATTTGGTACTGTCTGGCATGTTTCCTCCAGCTACAACTACCCTTCTGGACCACATGCTCTCCCTCTTCATTCCAGAGATTTAGGCTAACATTCTAAAGTGGTGAATGAAACACAGTAACTCTGATCTAGCAGATATCCTGCACCTTTACTCTATCATCTCTGCCTTTCCCCATAGACCCCTTCCTCAGCCAGAGCCAGTCATACATTCTCAACTTCTCACATAAGAGGTACTTGTAACAGCACTGCTTTCTTACGATCATTTTAACATATGTAAAAATAAGTTAACTGTTTTACATCTATTCTATATTTCAATATATTTACTCATATGTAGGCAATATATATGTTTTACTTTGACTCTTCACGGTGCAATAAATCCCTGACAAACAACAGTGAAATATACGTGTGTGTGTGTGTGTGTGTGTGTGTGTGTGTGTGTGTGTGTGTGTGTGTGTGTGTGTGTGTGTGTGTGTGTGTGTGTGTGTGTGTGTGTGTGTGTGTGTGTGTGCGTGCGTGTGCGCGCGCGCGCGTGCGTAGACAGAATTCCTATAAATTAATATCAAATGACTTTATATAGTTAATATTATTCAATGAGAGCCTCCAGTCAACTATCAATAACATCTCTACCATGAAATTACACATAACTTTTGATTATTTAAAAATGCATTTAACCATTACCTTGTCCAGCAGAAGAATTCTTCAAGGATACATCATCAATGGATATAATGAGCGGTCTCATGACTGACCAATCTCGTGATGCAGCCAAACGACCCTGAAGGACAGCTGCTATGACAGTGGAATGCACGGCCAAAACACAGCTGTGAGCGGGATTCTGCTGGCCATCTCCATCGATGACCACAACGTCACAAAGTTCACTTCTCCCACGCAACCACTAAAATAGGCATTTATTAAAGGAGATGCTTGTAAAACGAGTGTATATATGTATTTAAATAAATCCTAATACTCAGTTGTCAAATTTAACTAATGCCTCAAAAGTTGATCTTTTAA